AAGTTATTCATAATTAAATTCCTTTTAATATCGTCCATTTATAGAGAATACTGAAAGATAACTGTTACTATTTATAAAGTAGTTATTTTTCTATTCAAGTTAATGGGAAAAACTTGTTATAGCATAATAAATAATAATTAAAAAATAGACAAGATTACTTAATGTTTTGTGATTCACTGAAAATGTTTTTTCCATTTGTTTTAAGGCATTTTCCTGAACATTTTTTAGTGTATATCTGTCATATTCACCCAATTAATTAGTAAGATTTGCTATATTTCTAAAATAGTATTTCGGGTGAATTAAATAAGCAAAAATGTATTGTCTGTTTGGAGATTAGTAAATGCTATTCAGCAGGTATAGGGAAAGGAATTATTGACTGGGAAAGTTAATATTTATAATGTAGATTATTTAAATGTTATAAAAATCATATAACAGCAAAGAGTATATAAGCCTATATGCTATTATAAATGTAACAATGATAGTGACATAATTCATTTATATGATGTATTTCAAGGTGTCCAAAAGGTCTGCAAATCATAAGGAATATATGAATTTCTATGTAGAATGGTCAAAAACCATCAGTTAAAGTCTGGAATACTCTCAGAGTTTTAGTACATCTTTTTATGGTTTGAAGAAAATTTTGTAAAAAAAGAAGTTTTCAAAAGTTAAATGAAAATAAAAGAAAAATGAAAAATACAATGAGCAAAAAGTCTGAAGCAGCCCAAAGCTCAGGATACAAGAACAACAGTTCACTCTTGGAAAAAATTTTAACTACTGCAAAAAATATTGCACAATTTCCTTAAAAAATGGTGCATGATCATTATTTATAGTTGAATAATGCCACTTTTCCCTGAAAGCATCTACAATTAAATTGAAGTTCTAATATATTACCAACCAACATGAAACCATTTGGAAAGCTGTTAATTTTTTTTTAACCTTATTAAGCCTCTACTAATTTGGCTTATTGATTATATTAGCAAAGAAATTATTATATTGATTACAAATGAAAAGCCAGGATCTCAAAGAAAGCAGTATGTATTCATTTCTACCTCCTTCATTTAAGAGTTCTGACTTTTCCCGCAGCGCTAAAAAGGCTGTCTACGCAGCAGCGCAGTCAAGTCAACTGTGTTCATGCACTAAGGTTGTTGTACGAGCCAAAAATTTGAAAAAATGTTTAGGAATGGGTTGTTTGGCACACTCAATGGCCAGGGAAGGTAATCGCGCTCAATCTAAAAGCTTGAGGGTTGAAGAAGAAATTATGCTGTGCAAAAAAGACAAAAGTTAAATTTAACTATGTAAATATTTTTTTATAATATCATTACTATTGAGTTATTTTAACTAATAATTTAAAGAAAATAAATTAACAAAACATTTCTCAGCTATATTATTTTTGTATGGGATAACTACTTATTAAATCATTTTCAGTCATTAAAATTTTAGATTATTTCTTTATTTCATTTTCAGAAGAGTAAACATTTATGTTTGGTATTTTATAAAAAATGAATTCAACCAAAATAATATAAAAGAGTTAATGTAAATAATAATTGCATAAAGAAATGTTTTATATTTTAAAATTTGTCCAAATATGATAAAAATTAATTACTTGATAAAATAATATTAATTATAAACAATTAAAAATTTGATTAAATCATTTTTAAAACTGCAGTCATTTTTTAATAAATGAAAAATGTTTTCAAAATGAGAAAACAAAACAATTTGTCAAATTAAGAACAAAAATTAATGTGTAATTGTTGTTGAAAAAGGTGAGTTTTGTTCATTTTCATTAAGGAATTAAGTAGACATGATGAAAGCATTCTACTTTTGACTGAGATATGCTGAGCTGAAAAGCAATAAAAATACAGCAGCAATTAACAATTTTTTGTTTTTAACTTGGTTTTCATTTCAATCAAGAAATATAAACAGACAGTTTTTAGATTTTTATTCAAAAATCAAGCCAAGAATATTGGTAAATAAATGAGTCATAACCAAACATCACTGATCAAATATATTTTGTAGCTAAAGTCTCTTCCAATACAAATAGTGAAAATTTAAAGCAAAATGCTTTTTATATTAATTTACACTTATTCATTCTTTTATAAAAATGTAGATATCCATTAAAGTTTTTCAAGAAATGACTTGTCTGCTTTCATTATGAAATATTTTGTCTTTTATGCACAGCAGATCAAAAACATTACCTTCTTTATATTTTTTACCTGTGGATAAAGGGTGAAAATAAAAGATTACTGATGATAAAAACGGCTTCTAAGAAAAGAAAATTTAAAAAAAAATTGTCTAAAAATACCTTAAAACACTTTATAAATAGATAAAGTTTTCAATAAAATATGACATTTCAAGAACATTTTCTGAAAATGACTGAAATAAAGAAATTTGAAATCAGTTAACAAAATATCACATACCTTTTTAAATTTAAAAACTGAAATAAAGAGAAAGTTTGCAGAGAACTGGAAATTAGTAGCATAAGATTTTGGGTCATGCATAAAAAGATTAAATTTATTTATTTAATGGCAAATATAGTTTTCATTTCAAATGCATGAACTTCATAAATATTAATGTTTTCAATCTTCATTTAGATGCAAAAACTGTCCCAAATATATTTTTAAATACAGAATATTTTTATTTATTAATTTACAACTTATTAAAAATCATTAAAAATTAATGCAATTTATTAAAATAAAATAAATTTATTAAATTTATTAATTTATTAAAATAAATAAATTTTTTCAGTATAAAAAGTAATTAAATAATAAGCAATATTTTGCAACTATGATGTTAAAAATTTGAAGTGACCTAATTTATTAAGTGAACAAGTTTAATGAATGACAAATTTGATTGTTTATTATTTAACAGAATTCCGTAAAAGAGTTAATAAGGTTATAGATGATTTTTAATTATAATTAAAACATATTTAACCAAAACAAAAGAAAAAAAGAACATTTTATTAATCCTTAAAAATATATATCTTCATTTTATTTCTTCTCTGGAATAATTACAGGTAATTAAGAAAAATAAAGATATTCAATATAAAAAAAATCAGTATATTTTCAAAATAAATTTTTACACAGGTTCAACTTAAAAAATAGTTATTAATTAAAACCACCCTCAGCTTTTAGGATAGCCTCAACACAGACTCAGAAGTAACTGATGCTGGGATCTGGTGGTCTTTGTTCATGTTGATCATCATATCCATTCAATGTCCTTCAGCTATTCCTAAGTAATGCAATCCAGGTGGAAAGGAGAAGAATCTAATTAAAATGCCCCTTGACCTTGGGCTTGACCATTGTAAGTAGAGCTTCAATGTAAGCAGTGACATTAATTCTGAAACCCTATAGGAAGCAGTATGGTTCGTAACTATCAAAACATTCACAAAAAAACATGGATTTGGTGTGTGTGTGTGTTGAGGGGTCGAGAGACACAGAGCCACCTGTCATTTTGTTGGTTAACCTGGCTACTCTCAGGAAACTTGCTATTTCGAAGTTACTGTAATTGGTGGCTAATGCCACAAGTACAGCATGTCTTTCAATGTTTTGTATCAGATTAGAATTTGCCATGTTAATGCTCTTGATACATCAATGTATGGCTTGCTAAAAGGTTGTTCTCAAACCCCTGGTGCAGTCTGTATAATCAAACATGTAAAAATCAAATAAATGATGCCCTTCAATATTCTGTATCAGATTAAAAACTACCATGTTAATGCTCTTGATACATCAATGTATGGCTTGCTAAATGTGTGTTCTCAAACCTCTGGTGCAGCCTGTATAATCAAATATTTTATTGTTTATTTGATTTTTACATCCTCAAATCTGAATGGATAAAAACTTATTTTTAAACAGTGAAAAGTGTTCTACTTTTTGTAGAGAGGACAAATTTTATCATCAGTGTTTACCCATTTTTAGTTTTATTTCAAAACAATTCCAAATCAGCCTGAAAATTAAATCACTTTTGGATAATTATTGGGCTAAAATGAAAGCAAATTCTAATTGCTTCCAATATTTGAAATTTGAAAAATTTATCACATAAATTTTTCAAAACTCATAGAAAGTTGGAATCTCTAATATCCGAAGATATTTTAAGAAACAATTTACATAAAAAATAATGGGATACAATAATGTTATCATTGAACAGATAATTGTACCAGTTATTACATTTTAAATTATTAATATTATTTTATGTATTTTTCCAACTTTGTCTTCATTGTTGTTGTTTTTAACAGCGTTTTAACTGTTATAGTATTCAGCCTTCTTCAGATTATATTGTATCTGATTTTTAGAATTCATTTGGTGCTGCATCGTAAAAGAAATATATAAGCAAATATAATTTAGATTTTAACACTAGATAAAAACAAATAAAACAATATCAGTTAAGCTTCGTTTCATCCACAATCATCAATTCATGGCATTGTAAACTTGTTAACACTTCAGGAAGTCAATAAGGGAAAAATTCCAATATTACCAGTTTTCATATTGACAATATTAATAGGAGACAATAATATTTGGTCACATGATGTTGATGATGATGGGAATAAAAAGTGGAATAAAAGAAAAATGTAAAAAGATTATGTGAAGTCTGAAGACACAATATACACCTGAAGAAAGCCAACCACTGTATTGGCTAAAATATGTACTACAAAAAAAAAAAAAAAAAAATGGAGACAACAGTCAGAAAAATATGTTATGAAAATGCTAACAATTTCAGATGTGTAATACTTAAGATTAACATTGTAGCCCACAAAGTAACAAACATATGACTATAATATTAGTGAAATAAATTGTACTATTTTCTGTTCAATGAAAACAAATGATAATTGTTTGTTTTGACAACAACAGTCATTTGAAAGAAACTCATTGTTTCTGATAAAATCAGTCTCAGGTAATAAAATGGAAAAAAAAACATTCACAAAAAGAAATGAAAAGTCATTTGATTTTTAAGGCCTTACAGAAAATATAAAACAAACTATTTTTAAAATGATGTTGAATACTTACTGTTTCATCCATTGCATCCGGGTCATCTTCCAGCACTTCAAAGCATTTATCAACAGATGATTTGACATCAGGCAGTTCAGAGCTGAGGTTATTCAATTTATATTCTTCTTTAAATGTACTGCTTGAAGTGGAGTTGTGTGTACGATGACTGTTGATGGAATTTTCACGATGTAGGCTGAATGACTTACGGATACTGTATGTACTACTGATGGAATTGTTTCGGCTCCAGCTGTGATTCCTCTTAATAGAGTTCTTAGATGTAAAAGAATGATGACTCTTGATGGAGTTTTGAGGACTAAATGTATGTTGACTCTTGATAGAATTCTGTGGACTAAACGTTCTTTGATTGTTTAGTGGTGGTTGACCATTGCATTCACTGTAATCAAAACAAAGAATAACTTTACAGAAAATGATTTTGAAAGAAGTACAATGGATCAACCAGATTATATGTATAAGCAAACACATATATAACAACTGGCATATTTATAAGATATAAGCATACATCAAATTTAAATACATACTAATAATATACTGTTATCAAGATTCAAAACCATGAACAAAAACAATGTCCACTTTCAGATTTGTTTCCAAAAAGGATGATTATAGGAAGGTAGGCATGTGTTAAACATGGACTTTAATCTCTTAGAGTTGAACCCTTATAGTTGAAATACTTTAACTATAAAAATAAATATTACATGTGACAGTAGTGGCAATAGTTAGGCTTACCATATGTACCAGTTTGGCTGGGACTGTCTGCTTGTGTCCCACTAGAGATATAAAATATAAATATTCTTTTGTGCCACCCTGAAACTTAAAGGGTGATGGATCATGAAAGCATTTATTATACAAGAGCCTAGAGCTATAATAAAATTGTAAATGTTCCAGTTTGAGGCTTGGAAATTATGGTAAGCCTAGCAATAGTTGACAAATGTTTCAGAAAAAGAAAAAAAAAACTACAACAGTCTAAAAATCAGGAAATGTAATATTTGATAACATTTGCAGCATGTAGTTTACTTTTCTTGTTTCTTTTATTATATATTGTGTGTGTACATGCACACATACATACATACATATGTATATGTGTATGTATGTGAATGTATTTTGATACTACACATTCAACCAATCACAGATTTTTGCTGGAATTTTTAAGATGATGAGGAATTATTATATGCCTTGTTATTTGGATTAGCATGTCCAGCTCAGTTGCCAAGCTCACAGTGGCCTTCTTCAGGTTTTTTGTCATTATACTCTGTAACCTTTTCAGAATTTTGAGTTAAACCCTTTATTCAATCCACAGAAGCAGAATATTTTCATTCCACTTTCCATCCTTAGGGGAGATAACTCCAATCAGTTAATACTTATCAGTCTTATTTACCTTTGTGTCACTTGTCACTCTCTTCCACTGAACGAGACTATGTAACATTTCAGCACTACTAAATTCAGGATTGAACTCACATCTGCTAGAGAACCAGTTAGGTTTTAACCAATGCATCAAGTTATATGTCACTTGGATAATAAATCTTATAAATATTTTTAAGGATTTAAGATCTTATAAATATTTTTAAGGATTAAGGATACAAGAACAGCTCAGCCCTTCAAAGAAATCTCTCCTGAACCAAGCTATCTATGATAATATATCTATCTATAATTTGATAATATATCTAGTTAGCTATTATCATATGAGAATCTTATCTCTATCTTATACAACTGTGGCAAGAAATATAATGAAGATACCATCTGCACTCTAAAAATAAAGGTGGAGGAAAATCAAAAGAAACATTGAAATCAGACATGGGTAATTGTATATGGAGGGCAAAGGACTGTAATCAAGCCTTATGGAATGAAGTCAATAGAGAACAACACTGGACAATAAGGTAACTGTTAGGCTCTGACAACCTCCTCAGCAGGCCCAGCATAGAAATGAACACCATCTAGGTGCATCTGCTTAAGAACACTAAAATAAATTTCACCATCTGTGTATGGACACTTAAAAAAATTTACATCTGAGTACAGATATTATCTTTATGATTCCAAAATTACACTACTGGATTGCCCAAGAGATATATGGTGAATTGGAGCATTCTTTAAAACACAATTGTTGTCTGGCAGCTGAGTACCTGGATTGGGTAGTGCTGAAAAGTCACAAACAGTGAGACAGTGGAAGAAACAGACAAGTGAATTGAATAAATTCTGAAAAGTTTACCAAGCTTGATGATAAGCACCTGAAGGTGGCCAGAGATTATAAAGGTTGAAACATAACTATAACAACCAAGATCAAGAAAGTTTTAGCAAATAAATATGTTTTTGCTTACCTTGTCATTACCACCACCACCATAGTGTAAGGAGTTTTGATATTATTATATAATATATAACTTATATATAAGTTATTCCTCCAAAAATATAATGATTAAATATACTAATGGTTTCAGTGATTTATAACAAAGTTCTATAAAACTTATTGCTACATATGCAAGGAGTATCTTTAAATTAAAAAAAAATAAAATATTGTGAAAATGAATATTATTAAAATTAAAAACATATTGTAAATTTAAATGTAACTAATTATATGTATATGTTTTATTTTCATCTATATTTCCTTCAAAGGATAATTTTCATAGATTTTAATCTGTTTTATCTGCTAATATAGATAGCATCAATATAGTTGGCTTAGAGAATAAGTGTAAACATGAAATTGTAACTTTTGAATAAATATAAATCAAAATAATTTTCAAAAATATGGAATAATTTTCAAAAGTTGCTTACATTTATAACTTATTTTAATTACTTAATTGTGGTCATTTTATATTTAAGCCCTGAAATAATTTATTAAAACTTATTAGTAAGTTATTTCAGATGTTAGAAAAATATTTATTTATACATTTATAAGTGATATTGCTTTAGACTTTCATTGTAATGTATTAGACTTTACTATTTTCTTGAATTTTTTATTAGACTTTACTATTTTCTTCTGAATTTTTTTGGTCATTATTAACAATTATTTTTCCTCATAAAAATGATACAATCACCACACTTAATGTATCTTCATGCAGATTTTTTACTTCAAGGCAAATAAACAAATCCCAGATAGGACACAAAACCTATTTTTTAACAGCTGTAAATTCTGGATTTGTGAAACACCTGAAACAACTATTTTAACCAATTAGATATTTTTCCAGATCAAATCCAGGGAAAAAATTACTACTTAGGCTTTTCTGATGGTCTGAATTCTTTAAAGCAAGGGTTTTACTAAAGAAAACAATTTTTTCAAGATGATTCTATTCAATTAATTAGTTTATCTGCATGGATAAAGTCTATCACAGGATTAAATATTTTGGTGAAGAAAAGTTTTCCTTTTCTCTCTCTCTCTCTCTCTCTATATATATATATATATAAGGTATATACAGAATAATTCTTTATTATTCTGAAAATAAATAAGAACTATGAATTCTAGAAAAACAAAATGATAAAAATAAATCCTATGTCACTGACATTTATTTTATTTGAAGAAAGACTAGAAACACAACATATAATGTGATCCTGGGAAATAAATTGATATAATAATTATAATAATGTTTAAACCAATCTGGAAAATTCTTTGAATAGAGTGGGTTAAGTAATTGTTTTGTAGAGTAGAAAATTTTCAAATTAGATTTGTGAGGAAAGAATTTATAGTGGAAGTCTTTATCCAGTGCCATGAGGAATCATTTCAACTGGAGACATCCAGACATCTAGGATAATATATGGATGTTGTTAAGAAGAGCATTTGAATTATTAAAAAACAAAGATAAATCATAACCATATTTAATATTCTGTAGCAATTGAGTAAATATTTCAAAACCTTTAAGTTTATCATTGAACTTTTTATTTTAATGAAAGTTCATTTTGCTTGGGTTAAATTAATTTATATTATGGAATTTCATTTTCATTAAGCTCCTAATTTCAATATCATCAACATTTTCATATGGCTGTAAAAATAAATCATTTTTAAAAGATAAATCTTTTGTCAAGTAATTAGCATCTGTCTTTTTCAGATACTTGTAACTAGTAAGTAAAAGGATAAACTTATTTAAAAAAGCCATAAAATATCCCATTATTACTTACAAACAATTTACTGATTATATATATATATATATATATATATATATATATATATATATATATATATATATATATATATATAATAGGATAAAAACTATATTTAAAATGAATTTGGATTCACCAAAAATGATGTTAATTTGACTTTTAATGATGACTGATAAAAAAAGTTGAAAGAAAAACTGGAAGAAATTGTTATCTTTTTAATAATGAAAAATGTTATCCAAATGAATTTCAGTTTCTGAATTATGTCAAACATCAAAGTAAACATACATTTTAATATTTTTAAAAGAAATAAAACTGAAATGTATCAAATATTTTATTTTCAGTAGAAAATGAAAGTTAGGTAAGTATTTTAGTACCAGAAAAAGTGTAGAGCATTCATAAAAACTGAAAAAAAACCCCCCAGAAAACAAGAGAAAATATGTATGTATGCTTGTTTATATATATATATATATATATATATATATATATATATATATATATGTATGAAGAAATATAGTCTTAAGATGTGCTATATTTATGGGATAAAGTGCTCAATATCAGAGATAGAGCGTGGGTATAAAAGTGAACACTAATAATGGCCTGACGATTGCATCTAGCATGAAACAGACTGTCTCCTCTAAGTGTTCACTTCTATGTTCACTTTTATATATATATATATATATATATATATATATATATATTAAATTAAATTAGATATAATAACATTCAGTACTTATTGAGGATGAACTCAAAAGTTTCATAATTTTTCAATCCCTCATAGGGACTTTTGATAAGAATGATTGCATTGATCACAGAAAATCTCATATATATATATATATATATAAATAAAATAATGTATATGACTCATCATATACTAATTTATTTTTTGAAGGAACCTATAATGGCAACAGCATTTATAATCCTCTATATGTAGAGACTTTGTTCCTTACTCATACATTTTTAATCACAGTAAATGTTTGAAACACACACAAGATATGTCAAATGAACCAACACTGCATTAATATATTTTTATAATTATTTCATAATTAGAAATATAATCATATAAAAACATTTTATTTGAAAATTCTTCCAAATTCTGTTCATGAGTAAAAACTTGACTGATTTATTACAGTACATGAACATTTTGATATGTAATGCTAAATAAAATATCAAATAAAATTATTCAATTATTCAATGTGAAAGTGTGCATAAAATCTCATTATTCTGTTTTTATTTATTTTATTCTGAGTTTGTTTTGTCTTTCAATATTATATAATAAATTGGTTTTCTAAAAAG